CCCCCCCAACCTCCCTGTATTTAATGCCAAACACAGGTGTGTTAGGGGCTCTTCCATCCCTGACCCCTTTGACCTTAATGAGCCCTTTCCTGCTGGAACCCATACAGAGAGCTTCCTCCTTACTCCTTTGCCTGACCCCTGACATCTGATCCTGTAGAGCAAGTGGCTCTAAAGGTTCAGCCTCAGGAGTTGCTTCTCTTAGGCTAATGTGATGCATTTCTGAGTGCTGGTGTGTGCAAAGAGCTAGCCAGGGCTCCAGTGACTGTGTCATTCTTGCAAGTGTAATAGACAACCAGAAACATTTGGTTATTGGGGACACTTCAGCCATGTTGCTGTTATCTCTAGACAGATCATCTAGACAGATCATCACCTATTTCTATCTCTTTTTTCAGACACAGGTCACAATTTTCACCTCGAAGAGCACCCTTGAAAAGAGTGGGCTTGTGCCAGCATGAGGCAGTAGAAGCTTCTAATGATACAAAAAAACCAGGAATGATTGATTTAGCCGCTTTAGTAATTACCATTCCTTCAAAGACAGATGAACCTGAAAGATGCAACCTGCACAGCTTCATGCAAGGAGTAAATGGGTATTTTGAAAACAAATTTCTGAGCATCCAAGATATCAGTGTAGAGTTTGATGAGCTTGATTACTATTACTCTACAGAGAGCCTTAAAAGCATTGAAATATGACTGAAGTTTTCAAGCCTGAGGTATGATAATGTTCTGTTTTTATCAGAGCATTAAAAAGCTTGTGAGGATGGATACAAGCCAGAAAGTCTTCGTTTGTAAATCTTACACAATATAAGTTTCAATCTATCCCTATTTGTTGCGACAAGACCACACTGCCCACACAGCCAGAGTGTGATTTATTCTGTGTAACACTATAAGTCTGTTCTTAAAATACAGTTTAGCCCTTATCTCTCTTGTTCTTTGTTCTACAGTCCTTACATGCAATCTTGTAAACAAGAAATCACCCTTTTTCCAATTGTCCTTAAGCCCCCTTTAATTGCATTTTTACATAAAATAGCAATTAATTCAGCTTCGAGTCACATCATCTGCTGTGTTAAAGTGTTTTGCCACATCTTGGAATTTAATGAGGTCATAACTTCATTTACTCATCATTCACAATGTGAGCTATCACAGAGTCACTTTATTTCATTGAAGCCACTGAATATAAATCTACAAATGCTCAAAAACTTACTGGAAGAAGTCATAAACTGAATGAAGAGAAAGACAAGATGTTGAGGAGGATGAAACAGAAACCTTATGAATGTGATTGTTTGGCAGAAGATTCTGAAAATATGAAGCCTAGAATCAAAATAGAAATGAAAGCTTGCTTTGAGTCATAAGATACAGAGTACTAGTTACTATATAACCAAAGAACAATAGCCTAGCCAGCTAAAGGAGAATCCCTGTTGATGAAACAATGTCCTTCTGCTGATAGAAAGCCCAAAGGTCAAGAAGCAAGGGAAGAATTCATAAAGCTTTTAGAGTTTGAAATGCAACACTGTATGTTAATGTAGTAATTCTTATAGGCTGTATGTAAATTCTTTAGTGGGTGTATCTTGCAGTGATTGGTTATTGGGAATTAGAATATTCACCATAGAAAGACATATATTGTATTGCAACAGGAACTTTGCTCTCTTGTTTTCCCTACTCTTACCCTCTTAGTTTCTCCCTCCCTTACCCTCTTAGTTTTTCCCTCCCTTAACCTCTTGTTTTTCTTCCTCTCCCGCTCTTACTCTTACCCTCTTGGTTTTTCCCCCTCTTACCCCTCTCTAGTCCTCCTCCTCTCTCCTAAGCCTCCCTGGTTCTCCCCGATCTCTCTCATGCTCTCTTGATCCCTCCCTCTCCATCTCTAACCTCACCTCTCCTGCTCTCCCCACTCTCTCTCCCCTCCCCCCGACCACGTGGATGCCGAGGCTGGGGGCGGGCACGGGTCTCTCCCTCTCTTTACCCTTATTTACCTTATAATTTATACCTTATATTTACCTTATAATTGCTTATACTTGAACAGCTTGATCCAGGAGAAGTCTTTCACCGTGAGCGAGTGTTCTGAACTTCAATATCTGGCGCCCAATGCTGCCACCACTGCGAGTGAGTGTTCTGTACATCAGTAACAAGAGTTAAAAGGAATGACTTTGCCAACTCAAGTTTGTAAGCTGTCTCTTAAAATTAGTGCAGCAAGAGACCCCATGAGAGGCTGTGAGGCCACAGCACAGTGTGAAAAAGAAATATGGTTGGTTGGTAGGCGTGGAAAAAAATCTAAACCCAAGAGAAGCTTTTGTGACTTCCTCCTATCCCCATGACTCTAGAGGGACAGGGGCACTGTGTTGAGAAGTACCAAGTGCTCTGTGACACCAACAATCCTGACAGAGCTGCAACATTTTTGGTATTGAATCTTCCCTTCAAAATGACAAAGCAGGTTCAGGGTCCTTAGGAGTTCTGCACTTGCAATGGGTTGCTGCACTGTTCTCACACCTCCTACTGCTACCTCTAAAGATCTCCTCCAGCTCCTCTAATTTTTTTCTAACCCTAGAAAACGGAGAGGTCAAACCACTTTGGCCCACAGCTCTGACATTTTAGAAAATCACATCCCTCCTGCTGCTTTCACACACACACACACACACACACACACACACGTGACAGAAATTCCAGGGTAAGCTCACCAAGGGGATTTGGCAGAACAAAACCTTGTTTCAGTTTGTCTGACACAGAGCAGAGCCCAACTCCAAGCACTGTGCAGGGGAAGTCTGCATTAATTCCAGTGAGCAAGTGATCAGCAGTTAACAGTTGCCAACAAGAGCCACAGGAAATTCACTTGGAAAGAGATCTTGGTACCAGCATTCTTCTTCCCTGGCAGTAACTTGAACCTTACAAGCCTCAAACACTTCTACCCTCAAGAATCCACTAATTTTTAGGCATGTCTGAATTGTGGAAAAAATTCAGTGTCTTTATTAATACAAAACAAATAATCTAAAAAAAAAAAAAAAGAAGTTCAAAAGTCTGTCCTTTCTGACACAACATAATTTGAACAGAAATATCTCTCCAGATAGCTCTGCTTATAAAGTGAGCTTAAAACAAATATTTTTAGTGATTTCTGTGGCTCTGAGCATGTATTGCATGCAGGTAAGATTCTACTAGAACATGGTCACTGAAACAGACAAGGTGTTTATATTCTGGTGTGAAATAACCAGAACATTTCTTTTAACAGCATACAGAAGACTGAATTTTTTAATTTTTTTTCTTCCCAGACTGAAAACTAAGAAGTCAGAACAAAAGTGGGGGTGAAAATTCATCTCAGGCATATATTTATCTTTATGCATTCATAATTTGAATGTTAATAAAAACAGTGTTAGTTAAGTAAAAGGATTTACAGTTCATATGACAGATACTATGGAATGAAAAACTGCATAAATATTGACACCTGTATGTAAAGCAATCTTAATCTACAATTAATTCTAAGAATACTTACGGTCAAAGTAAATTTTCTTTAATGTCAACAACAAAAAAATGTTTCCTCATTCTAGTATCACTGTTTTGCCCTCTAAATTCCAGCAATGCTCAATGAAAATATCTATTGATGAAGAGCTTGTGAAATGGAAAATACTACAAAAATAAACAGCAGAAGTAATTTCTTCTCTGTGGTAAAAGACATTCCTCACCTTTGGAAAGCTTGGCCACTAACATGTAAGGCTGAGTCTTAAGACTCAGGTGAGGAATTTCCAAGACTTTAATGAGTTCTATCCTTTTTGCTGTGCCTGCTGTGTCTGAGTCTCTGCTACAGGAATTGAAGCCCCCTTGTCACAGTGCCAGTTCTCATCCTGGTGATGGAATGCCATTCTCTCTGATCCTGCACAGAGTTTGGTCCCCTGCTATCCCATGGCTTGGGACAGGCACGGTGACAGTGGCATGAACCAACCTGCTGTGCCATGGCAGCAAAAGCACAGCCCTTAGTGAGAATTTAAAAGCTCCATGAGAGCTCAAAATCAGAGCAGCTGTAGAAAAAGTTGTTGCAAATCATCTGCCAGTGAGATCCAGCCTCTTTCCCCAGAGTGAAGATTTGTGGCTGGGAACAGTAGGAAAACCACTTTGTCAGAGAAAACCCTCTCCAGGCAGTGTTCTCCACCACTTGATGAACATTTCCTGCCAGTCCTGACTGTCCTCAGCTCTTACCAGTGGGAACAGAGTACTTTAGCATCAACAAATAAATATGACACCACAAAAATGCAACTAAGTTGTTATATTTCCAAAACTGCATAAACCCAGATCATCTTCCATTGCACTCATCTTTCAGTGCCACCTTGATTCTTACATTTCCAGCTTAAAGCATTTTATCTATGTTTCTTCCATTGCATTGCTTTCACACCTTTCTTGCAGACTACTTTCTTAACACCTGATCTCTGGCTTTCTTTGAGCATAAATACTGGAATTTAAGCTTGCTTTGAATAAGCAATAACAATTCCAATGGAATCTTTACATCTCAGTGGTGATTTGGGGATTCTGAAATTAATTTCCCATTAAGACCTCCCATAATCAATAAGTAAATTTCACCTTTTTAGCCTGGGTGTTTACACTTTTTCTAATCTGGATGCAGTACGTGTTTAATAAGTATCAATGACAGAAAAAAACCAAAATGAAAAATTCTGGAAACATTTCCTTCATTTCAGTGTTTTCTAAGGTGAACAGCCCTGGAAAGGTAAAATGCCAAGGCTGGAAGTTCTGCAATGCCATTGGCTAAGAGAGAAAAAATTCATCTGCCTGTGCAAGCCTGAAGGGAGGGTGTGCCTTAAGATGCCTGCTAGTTTCATGGTGCAATCCAGAAAAATCTTCAGACATTTAATGGACCTCAAACTCTAGTATTTATGAACTTGAGAAACAAACATGAGCGTTCTCAGGGAAGGGAACCCAAAAATCATACAGTGGATGTTGGAATCTGGAATACAGAGTTTGAGCCCTTGTTTCTGGTCCTTAGTTACAAGATCTAGAAAAACATTGAATTTCATATAATATGAAATTCATGAACATGTTTTCATGGTGAAACATGAAAACAAATGTTAAAGTTAGATAGAAGAAGCTAAAAGTGTAAGTGTATAGATTAGAAAGTATTTTTAAATCACTGGGTGAAATAGTTAGTTTAGAGAACAGGAGACAAGATGGAGGATTTAGGGTGTCACTTGAGAAATTGTAAATTAGGACAACCCAATTATACGCTCATTGTCCTACATTTCCTATCTCTTTACCTCTTGCTTTTTATTTATTGATAACAATCATGAATTTATAAAACAGAGCTGCCTATGACTTTCCAGTGCAATGCTAATTGCCAATAATTTGAGCTAGGTTATGCAGCCTTTAATTTTCCCCTTTTTTTAGAAATATTTTTTCTTTGGTGGATAGAAGACCTCAAATTTTTCTTAAGGGTAACAATTCTAGAGAAAAAATATTTGGTCACTCAGCCCTTCTCTTCAGCCCCTGTTTTCTGTTTTTGATTTAAAAAAAAAAAGGGCAATGTATGGACTAAAATCAATATATTTCCATATTTTAATTCACAACACAAGTGCTTTTAACCAAGAAAACAGAAGGCCTAGTAATTCCTTCTCTCCCTTTCTTGCATGCCAGGCTTTTCTTCCTGCTCAATACAACTGCCTCTGGAGTACCAGAAACCATTTGCCAATGTGATTTTATGTGCTGAATTCTCAGTTGAGTAGGAAAACAGAAACTGGCAGCATTGGCTACATCTCATTTACACTTGTAAGGTGTGATTTTGCTCATAAAAATGATTTTCTAGTGCCTGAGATCCCCTGAGATTACTTCAGTGTGCCAATAAATGCCCAAAGTATTAGGACCTGGCTAAGCAATTATTTTGTGGTGCAGTTCACCCATGTTATCCTTACTAAACCAACATTGTGCTTGCTATTACTATCAAAGTGTCCTTTTATTCCAGCAGAAATGTGATAAAAGAGACATTTTCAGAGAGGAAGGTGGTATTCCAGCTTTTGAACAGGGATCCTGGTCATTTCTGGTAGGAACATCACTGTTGTAGGAAGGAGAATTCCCCCCAGGTCTGTTTGTCACCTCCCCTTGCCCTGCAGCCACCTGGTCTGGTCCCTTCACAGAGATAATCTGGGGATCATTGAAGCGATTTTAGTAAGGAAAACATATAATTAAAACTTTGGAGGAGTGTGTTTGCCATTGAATTGGCTGAGGGAATTCAATCTTAAGTCAAAAGAAAGTGAAAGGTGTTACAGAAAACATTTTTTTAAATTTTCTGGCTGGAACATGAAGACACAAAGTTTTCTCTTATTGAGAACACAAATCGTCTTTCAGAGTTAACAAAGGACAGATGTTTGCAAGTCTGATACACTTTCAACCTGCGTTGAATGAAGGCAGACAACAAATTCCCATGTTTCATTAAAAAAATATTAAAAAACCCTACAGCTTAATTTGAGCATGACTAAAGAAATCCTATGAAGGCATCACATCTACCATTTCTCAGATAATTAAAAAGAAGCAAAGGAAAATTATTTTATTCTCACAGCTGTTCTTCATTTCCTATGGCTGACTGAAATAACTAATTCTTCAAATAAATTGATTCCACTGTCTTCAAGGAGAAGGTTTGAATCACAACCTCATCAAATTATGTTGGTTGTTAATCAATTAAATACTTAAAACAGAAAATCAGCACAGTGAAATGAAATTTAGGATCCTCATCTGTGGATGTCATTCAAGATAGAAGCAATTCAAGGCAACAGGGAATATTTTTAAATGTGAATATGCCTGTGGATAGTTCTGTGCTGCTCTGACCCTCCTTGCCTGAGTGCATCACCAGCCTGTGACAAAGACTCAGTCTGTGCCTTACAAATTTAGATCTGTCAAAATGTTTTCCACCAGCAGTGGCAGATCAAAAGTTGAAGCTCATGTGTATCCTGTGAGGTTTGTTTTTACTCCTAGAGGAAAATACAGCTTATGCCACGTGGCAGAGCTTTTCAAGTGCACATGTTGAAGGCTCTGCTTTAGTGATGAAAAAATGAAGAGTGAGAGCACAAATTTGTAGCTTTTGTGACTTCTCGCGGGAGACTCTTACAGAGTGTCTGGGA